ATGGACTTATTTCCGCAACAACGTTTGTCACCTTCTCGTAACAACGTTCGCCCGCTTCGTGATCAAAATACTGAAGAACAACAAGATCAAAGTCACTCGTTACCACCAACACCACAATATAATTCAGCAATATTGAAAGACGCATATTTTGTTTCACACTTAAACCTTTTATACAAACACATTAAGGATTGTCCTGCGTTTATCGACGCGTGCAAGCTGGCAAAAGTTTGGCTTCACCAAAGAGGTTTTGATTCGGAAAAGAATGGCTCGAACGGTTTCAACGGATTTTTATGGTCGATGCTAATGATCTATCTGTTACATGGTGGGGGTCCAAATGGTGACAAGAAATTGGCCAATGGATATAGTTCCTACCAATTGATCAAGGGAACTATGGATTTTTTGGGTAAGTAATGACGGTTATTATCTTTCTATTTTTTGGCGTAGCATATATTCAAAAATCTAACTTGTAACACTATATCCAAGCAAACCATAACTTTTTGGAATCGCCTGTATTTATGAATGAATTGAATAACTCTGAAGTGGGAGAGGCAAGCTTTAATTTTTAGTATAACGCAAAATTATAATGCATTAAATAACTATCTTGTGGAATATCTTGCAGTTCACTAGGAAATCATTTATAGAAAATTTTGATGTCGTATTTGTTGACGATTCTGGAACGTTGAACTTGTTTAGTGGAATATCAAGGACAGAGCTTGAACATGTAGGGCTAAATCTGCTATTCCCTACAACAGTCACGAGATTCTAAATTAATCTTTGTCATTTCTGTATGCTACAGTTGCAATTTGAGGCGAAATTGGCAATGAAATATTTTAATGAAAGCGTAGAAGATCGGTTCGATGCTATATTTCTACAGAAAGTTGATGACATGAAGTTAAAATATGATAATGTTGCACGGTAGGATTTGTTTCCTAAGCTGGAGTAACCAACTATATCATATTAAGTACAGTATCTCTTTAGTATAGTTCAGTTGCCTGTGAAGTATGAAGAATACACGGACTCGGTTAAATTGGATTATCCCGACAAGTTTATATATTTCGCACGAACAATGCCATCCTTGTTGAAACGAGGACTCACCAATCGCATCAAACTCATTACCATACACTATGACAAGTTGCCACCTTGGTCAATTTCTGAGCGTCCTATGACTTATAATTCGGCCAAAATTAAATTATATTTGGGTTTCTTATTAAATCCGGAAGAGTCAAATCGATTGGTCGATTATGGTCCCTCACCTGAAGATGAAAATGCAGCAAAAGAATTTCAGAAGTTATGGGGTAAAAAGGCTGAAGTACGACGATTCAAAGATGGCAAAATTCTTGAATGTGTGGTTTGGGACTATAAAGGAATAGAATCACGTGGTTTAATTATCAACAAAATAGTTCTTTATTTACTTTCGCTTCATTATGGAATCAAAGATGGCAATGAGGGTATTCGGTATTTTGCCGGACAATTTAATAAATTTGTTAAACCGTCTCCAGCCGTTCCAATGCAAATCTTTGATCGGGATACCATCAACAAGGGATTTCAACCGGTGATGACCGCATACGATGAGTTATCAAAGGTATTGCTATCGATTGAAGACCTTCCTCTTAAGATATCTAACATTAGGGCAACAAGTTCGGCATTAAGATACGCATCAGTATTTGTTCCTCAGCCATGTCAACAATCACA